TGGTGCAGTGGATAACGCTGGATTCCACTGCTGGCCACTGCCCATCATTACTATAAGAATACAATTGTTGAAAATATAAATTACAGTTGGGGTAAGTTAAGCCAATTGCACATTCATAAGATATGACCTCTCATTTTAATTTAAGTCAATTTTTAGGATGAGAAATGTTTATATACTGAAGGAAGTTGCATAATAAATCTTCGTAGAAGCTATAACAGAAATATCAAATAGATTTTACTCTTCCGAGTTATTCTGACAGCTGAATTAGCCTTTTGTTAATATGCTTCTGTAAGCTACTATCGAGCACAGTTAAGTGTAAGTTGGTACTTTCAGGCATGATATATTCACCAGTACACCAAGTTTCACCGTGTCAGGGACAAGCAGATTACCTTTATGCACAATGAAGTTTTGAAATAAGCTAAAAGAGTTACATAAACGTTCCTTAGAATTTTATTAAATTTTATTTCCATGCTCCTATGGATCCAAAATTGCCAACTATTAATCTTTAATGAATGAAGATATATTTGAGACTTCAGTGAAAGTTATCCACCAACCTGGATATATATATATATATATATGTCATATTAGTGTACTGGAAGTATTTATGAACTCCTTGATATCACCTGTGTATATAAATCATCACGAGAATTAACATTGCAGGTACCCAATTGTAACTGCAAGTTATTATTACAGAGCCCAGTAAATAAAAACTATGTTCATACCAACCTTTTTAAGTTAGGTATTTCTAAACATTTGAAGCGCCTATAAGTTTCAAGCTGAAGATGAATCATTACAGTAGATTATTTGCATATATATATATATATATATATATATATAAGCACCCATCCATGTGTATGTAATGTTAAGCGTACTAAATGTAGGTAAACCATTTGTACTTAACAGCTTGGATTGCATGTTTTTTTGTTTTGTTTTAGTAAATGGTTGATAAATACACAGATAAAATGTCAGAACGGCCTAGTAACCAAGATTTACAGTATTTAGCTAAGTTGAATGATTCTTGAAAAAAACCAAAAAGAAGAAAGTAAGGATAGATAAATTTTTAGTTGCAGAAGAGGTTGAAAAATGGAGAGAAACAAAAATAAAAGTAAATAAACGATAGCTAGAAAAATAAACCATAAAAGTTTTTTTCTTATTACAACATCTGATACCTACCAGTCCTATTGCTCATTGGATTAGGTTTCATGCTGAGATTTATGTCAGTAGACAATTTACTTCAGTTTTACTGTAAGCGGAAACGATAAAAAATAACATGTATGGCCGAAGGATTTAAGATAAACAAAGTATTTAGAGGACTAATGATTATTAAATAAGACAACGTTGAATAGTTAAAAAACTAATAAGTAATAAGAGTTTATTTATCTAGTGACTTATTTATTCATAAACACGGTACTTACCATTTTCGTATACATTTCTGAAGCTGCGTGTCCTTCATATGAATTTTACTTTTAGATAACAAGACTAACTACTGCATCAAATATTTATTATAATCATAGTACGCTTCACAAATAAGAATAGGCTATAGTAATAGCGAATATTTTTAGTTGCCATCAGTGCTCGGTTTTTTTTTAAAACGTTCGTATCGAGTAGAGTGTAGATAGCTGTCTGTATTAACTCAATATCTTTTTAAACTATCAAAAATCCTGTCATTTTCGCTCCGTTTTGTATTGTAAAGACAAATATTTCTGTGGATTTGTAGATATTTCCAGCAACACCTTTTATTTTGTAAGTCTGTAAATGCAGTGTTTGCATGCATGCATAGATGGTGCGTAAAGTTTAAAAGACGTCGTAATTATGATAGCTTCTAAAAAAAGGTTGTGTATGCAGCGCTTTACCCTATAAGTTGTTGAGGGTCACTGTTCACTAGGCTTCAGTATCATATCAGTCATGTTAACTCCTAACAAACTCCATATAGAAAGATATATTCGTTAAAGAGAATTGCTTACAGCCAATCATAGTTATTGGTGTGTTTCAGAATAAACTATTTGCTTGATACTAATAATAGTTAGTGCCCAGGAGTAGAATCCGGAACGGTCTAGCCAAGTACACGAAATCAAAAGGTAGAACGGTATATTGATTTTTTGTTTCCGTGCAAAACCAAGAAGTATTTTATTCCTTCCACCTTTATTATTGCAGTCAAGTCTGAATTATTCGGGACTTTGCACTCATTTGATGGAAAATAGTTTTGATATTCTTGTTGGATATAAGGTTTTGCGACTTGACATTATTAGTGGTGATCGAGAAAGTTATGATTCTCTATGCCTTTGCCTGATAATCTAGCTACTCGTTCTCTGAGTTCCAATATTAAGAAACTTTACGCTATGAAGTATCAACAAGTTACCGAAAGTAGAGATATCTGACACTCCTGATTTAAACTGATATATATATATATATATATATATATATATATATATATATATATACGTTAGTTGGGTAGAGGCATCGGTAGAAAACGCCAGATCTTGGTTTCGTTCTTCCTGGCACCCGTCGGTGAGGTGGATCTGCAACTCTGGAACTGATATCCCACCTAAATTTCCAACCTGAGTCGCCCACTGCTGCATTAGGAATGAAAACGATAATTTTACACAATGAAACCATGACAAAATAATCAGTGCTAGGTTTAATACGTAGAATTACGCAAATACAAAGGACTACTAAAGTATAGGAGTAAACAGCAGTCAAAACGTCAAGCTATGCACGAAAGAGAAACTGAATCTTAAAAAAAATAACGTTCTCTACGTTATTCCGTTATACAACACTAGGTACTGAATTCAAAACCTTCACAATCACGGTATTTTTTTACAAAATACCACCCATAGAAGTGGATTATTTTTATTATTTTTATAACTTTTCCCTTGGGTTCCTAGTGGAACATAGGGCTTCAGTAGCACGCCTCCATTGCACTCTATTCTCTGCAATCTTTTCAACGTGGCACCATGACTGCCCACCAGCTTTCATTTCTTCCTCTCATCATCTCCTCCATGTCACGCTCAACTCGGAGGCTTAACTTATCACTTCCCTTTTGGATTCCACTCTACGGCCTGGCGTGTGATGTACCCAGCCGGCCTTCTCCTCACTGTATGCCCAGTCCATCTCCACTTTCTTCCGCATATTTGTTGGGCGATGGGTTCTTAGTTGGTTCGTTCCAAGAATCCCTTGTTGCTTCTTCTGATTATTTTAGCCATCTGATATTCAGATGGTGAAAGAGATAACTTCCTTCAGATTTCTCCCGTTGATGGTGATTAGTGCTTGTTGATGCTGCTGTTGGTTGGGTATCTTCATCACCTCTGTCTTCTCTATATTTCCTTGAAGTTCCGTTTTTGTTTTCCTCCCCCTTCTGTCAACTTATTGGTTTTCATCTGTAGATCTCTGAGTTTATTCGACAAAACATTGGACTCAAATCATCATTGATGGCGAAATCCAAATCTTCTAGGCTCTTTTCATCCATCAAACAACTTATGCCCATCTTCTCACAGCTTCTCACAGTTTCTCGCATGATCCAGACCAGTCCAGCCGACCACAATCAGGAAGATGATCGGTGATAGTAGGCAGCAGCCTTGTCTTACTCCTTCCTATCTTCACTTCAGAGGCATCACTGACCTTTCTATTGTGAATCACTTGGCATGTGGCGTCGTCATGTAGCATATAACTGTTGAATGAGGTTGATAAAGGTTTGTGGCACTAAAACTGTAGTGTTGATGCAACTGCCAAATTACTTCTCGGTCGACGCTATCGAAGGTCTTTTCGAAATCGATGAAGTTGAGGTAAGATCCAGTTGACTGCCATTCTATGCTCTATTCTATGATGATGCGTAGCGTTGTAATTTGATGAGCACATGATTTGTTTTTCCTGAGGCCAGCCAGCCTGCCTATGCCGGTCGTAATTTGGAATGCAGAGAATGTTTCAGTCTCTCCAGGATGATATGGTAAATAAAAAGTAACACTATCTTATTGCATGATATATAACGATGTTAAACAAACTGACAAGCAAGCGTACTGTGTTGAACGCCCTATTAATCTTCATTTAAAAAAAAATTATAACAACTATTTCTAGTGACAGAGAAACCCTTTGGAATTCTTCCTTCTACTGACAGTAAAACAGACTTAATTCAGTGCTAAAATAAGGGAATTAATTTCTTCTTAAAGCGTTTCTGTTGTTTATGGATACTTAATTGGTCATACGCTGTCAGTGTAAACTTGTTTATGATGAGATTAGAGCAGAAATTTATTCAGTTGACTGGGTATGATTTCCTAAAATATCTAAAGTAAAATTAGTAGTGTTCAAACAACCACAGGGGCGGGCAATAAACACATGATTACTACTTTACTGGTAATAAAAATATTTAACAGTTGAATTATACCTGAATGAAGTTTGGTTTTCCTATGCTTATGATGCACAAAAGATATATTCGCCTGCTTTTTTTCAGGACACTTTTAGTGTTCATTCATTTTCAAGATCATTTCCTTCCTTTCTTCGTGTTCAGCGGAAAAGTGAATTCAACATTTACCTTTTCTTATAAATATTCAAATTTCAATTTGTAGATTTGTGGGGTTATAACAATTTCAAGCTGGTATTCATCCCGAATTGACATCAGTTGAAGTATTGCAAATAGGGAATCATTTGACAGGTACTCAACCACAGTATGGAATGAAAGTTGTGCTATTTTTAGAAATAACGCAGAGAAATAAGTGGATTATTGAATTCTGATCCAGTAGTTCAGTGGTAAAGTGCCCGTCATGACACCTGAAAGTCCTTGATGCCGTCCCCGGTGGAGTTGTGGGTGGGCATTGATTAGGAGTTCCATACTAGAAAGGAGAATCTGTCCAGGGTTCTAGGTTTCTTGAGGTTCCCCAACTGATGTAGTTCCATGATGAATAGCAATATTTACATTTATCAAGTTTATTATTTTACGGGATTACTAAGATCTGTTACATGTATCATTTTGCAAACTATCACTAACCAAACCTTTTTCCTTGTTATAGGATCTAACTATCACTCTGACGTCTGAACGACCAGAATCTGAAGTTGAACTAATTCCAGATAAGCTTGAGCCTTGTAGGATAAATTTACAAACGCTTGTTGATCAGCAGGTAAGATTTGTACACAAGAACTTTTGGGAACCTTTTAGTTTTCACGTGAAATAAAATCTTTTATGCAGTTGTAAATTACAAAACTTATTGTTCGAGTAATTTTACTTTGTTTAGATAATTTTTCATTCTCAGGCTTGTTGCCTTTCACATTCTATTGTAATGAACAGTTGTTTGCAAGCTTTCGTCTAGCGTTTACATAAGTTGATGTATGTGACGAATAGAACAGTTTCAATAAGTTCGACAGTGGTGGCGAACTCAGTCAATCCGAAAATCTAGAAAAGAGTGGAGAAAAGGAAAGCAGGAACCGATAAATAATCAGGTATATAGGAGGCGCATTCGCTTAATAATAAAAGATTGTCATCAAGCAATATAATTGGCCTTTAGAAAATAAAACAAATTGAAGAGTGAATAACTGAGTTCATATTTGGCTCCACCGGCTCAATGGCAACGTGCTGGCCACGGAACCTGAAGGTCATGGCATCGGTCCCTGGCAGTGTGGAGCAGGGTGGGGTTTTGAGAGTGCACTGATGAGGAGTCCCATACTAAGAGGAAATAGCTATCCAGTACTCCCATGTTTCCAATGTTCCTCCAACTGATGTCAGTCTACGATGAGTAACAACTTGAAATGTTTCTAAATCTCCACAACTCCCTCAAAATTCATATTTATTTGTTGACTAGGTGTATCACACAGTGAAACAGTACCATTTACTGGATAATATTTTAAATCCTATTCATTGTTTGTATTCATATAGGGGTAACTCTACAACTTAGAAAGATGATACAAGCGACAACATTAAAAAACCATACCTCTCCCACACGAAGTGACCGTCGTCACTCGGTTGCCTAGTTGATAGTGCTCTGGCATTTGAAGTGATCGATTACGTGTTCGTGTCCCAATGGCAACAATATAGCTCACAAGGTGGCAGGCACATCCGACTGATGAGTCCCAAATAGGACTAAGTACGAATCTTGGATTCCACCGCAAGATTAATCTGGTCCACACAATTCTAATTTTCTTTCATTCCTTGTGATAGGGGAAGTAGAATTTTCCACATATCTGAAATAGATCCTGAGTCAATCCCACTATGTGTATTTGTTGTTGAATTGGAAAATAAAGTTTCGTTTATCAAGATTTCCACTAACACACTACACTGTTTTCAAAAAGTATCATTCTATCTGTTTCTGTTGTGTGATTATGTGCAATTTCATGCGTAGCTGTGGCTCAGCTATTCCCTAGATTCCAATCTTCATTTAGCTAAGCTTTTACGCCCAAACAACCTGGTTAATGGTAGTCGACTGCTTTGACCTATCTATCGGACTTCAAAATCATCGAAAGGGATTCGATAAATTGAATGCCTTTTCAACAGATATTTTGGTTAATCCAATCCTTTCTTGAATAAATCTACGGACAGCATAAAAACCACTCTCGCCGTAATCGTTCTCCAAGATCTTGTCATTTTTTTGAATAAGCATGGGGTCTAAAGTGGTTCATTCTTATATATGTTCTAAGCTTTTGTACTGTATTTTGTGGAGTGTTCAAATCTAAGAAGAAATGGAAGACATATAACACATCAAGGTCACATTTTTCTCATTGAACATCAGAAATAAATCATCGTTCATTTCACAATCTGGTATTAGATAAGGACAGTTGTACCTGGGAGGTTAAAGCAGCTATCTAAGAGATCTTGTGTGAATATTTCTGCCAAAATGTTTTTGGTGTATTTGAGTTGCACTCCATAGAATGATTTATTGTTTTTATAAAGTTCTATAGTTTATCTAAAACGAAAATTACCTACAGTTTAGTCAGTTATTATATGAGTTAGGGTTTTTGATGGTAATCTTTTCACTGTTATGTTAGACATTGTTATTAGTGCGTCAGAATTGAAGTGAAGTGAAGTAGTTACTTCACTAAAACTTTAGCTCAGTGAACAGCTGACTTTAAATATTCACACCCTGCAGTAGGAACATTTGCTACAATTCCTGTCAAATATTCTATTGCCATCTAAAGCTTTCAATTATGACCAGGCTACAGTGCTCCATAGTTTTAAAGTTGTCTTCATGACTCCTAGGTCATTATGATTCGGGACTAAAGGGAGATTAATGCTACATATTTCCTATGTTCCAGTTTTAATCATATGCTGAAAACTAAAACTTTAGCTGTGTTGATTGGCATAAACCGTTCCTATGATCATGTCACGAAGTTTCGAGGTCTTATTAAAGACTGTTCACTGTATGATTTTTCTTTGAAAATTTCCTCATACTTGCTGATGGACCCAGAAGCACACTATTCTACCGATTTATAAGAATATCTTTCATTTATAGTAATTGTTTACTTTTTGACCAGTAATCAAATAATTGATTTCTGTCAGCAGATCTTTATCGATTTTGAACCTCTCTAATTTCATTAGGTACCTATCATATGGTGGTTTGTCAAATATGTGTGGCACCTACAGGCTTGATGTTAACTATGTCTGGATTTTAATCATTCCCCTATAGGGAAAATAAACTTGATGAAAAGCATGCTAAGCACTGAATGATGATAGTTTGTTTAAAAATGGAATAATAATAACTTTATTAACCACTCTTCCTTTGTTCTTCAAAATTCCAGATGTAATGAATATTAGTCTTTAGTTTGTTGACCACTACCAAGATCATGCTGATAAGGAGGCTATGTTATCTTTTCAGTTATACAAATTTGTTAAATATATTCAGAATGTGGTGCATGGCGCGCAATTATGTCGTGAAGCCTTCGGTGAACTTCATCTACTTTAGTGGATGTATCCATATCCAGAGTAAAAAAGGTTATACTTCACTTCCCTAGACATCGGCAATTTTATTTATTCTGTAAACGTATCTGATATGATGTTCCTGCTAAAAGGTTACTTTCTTATATAAACTTAGTTATACAGTAAACTATAAGTGCTTATTATCTTCGACTAGCTTAAACACCGCCTTACCAATTATTTCTACGATCGATTCTGTGATTTATATATCGGAAGAGCCCATTTTGTCAATCTCCGAATAATTACGTGGAGTGGGTCTCGAAATGTATTGAAGACACATGATTCATTGCTGTAAACTTATTGCAGAGAATATTAGATAACTTTTTCATCTTGACAATAATATGGATAATGGCAAAACTCCAGAGCTTATCATCTAGCACAGAAGGCAGTCAACTCCTCAGTTTATCGAAGAATGGAAATATTTTCATTCCTTGGTAATAGCTTACAGAACGAATATCTGAGTAAATGTAATTTAGAGGTGTTCAAAAAGAATAGTGCATTTCAAGCTGAAGCTTATGAATCAATTGAACAGCCTTTTAAAGAGAATACAGACTTCTATTAGCCGTCTACAAGATTAGTCAACCAGAGAGCTCAGCTAATTGCTTCGTAGTAGCTCTGCATATGAGGATGAACGAAGGGTTGGGTGAAGTCCTAGTCATCTGAGTGTGATAAGTTGCAGTCTCAGGCAGAGGATATCTGGTATGAGCTTATTAGAGGAAACTTTTTAATACATTGTGAAAACCAAGAGACACATCAGATCCCAAAGATCATTGTTGATCTCCTTATGATCATCCTGTTCTAGCTTATTACAAAATATCAGGTTTCATCAGAAGTAGATAAATGTATGTCGTCAATAAAACCACTGCAGATAACAGTCCACCAATTGAGGTTCACATGACCCACAGCTAAATGAGACCTTTTTCACAGCCTCCATAGACAAATTTATTTCCATGTAAAAGATTATACAACTTCTCAGCAAAGCAGTATTCCAGTCTTGTAGGAAAAAACCATTTATATCCATATTTCATAATTGCTAACTTCAAAAGCGAGCAACATGCATAAGGTGATTATAATTTTAAGATTTACCGAGTGCATATAATAAGATATACTTTTTCATTTGTTTACAAACATGAAATCATAGACGTAAATGGATTTGATTTTAGCTAAACAATTTATCATCCTATACACATAAACTTGCGCTTCATTTTGACTCAAAGCTTCATTACTTGGTAACCCATTACTTCGAATTATTTTCTCTAAGAGTTACTTGAACCAACTGTTTATTATCTGCACCTTATTTATTTGAACTTGGTATGGTTACCCCCTCCCACTTATAGTTTACTAGCATTCCTTTGAGTTAGAGCCTTTTATTGACATATAATAATACATTCTAGCGTAGATGCGCCTCATTCCTAACAGTATGTCTTTCTTTTACTCCAGACGTTTTTCGAAGAAATCTTTTTTCTCCTTCTTGTGCTAATCAGATTATGTTTGTAGTGAATCTAAACCTTTATGCATCCTAATTATGCTGAAAATGATAGATTCTCTTATTGTTAAACAGTCTTTCTCTGAGGTTGCGATCAGATTTTCAGTCCACTGCCAGTTCTTTGCTTGATGCTACTTCTTGAAGCCATGAGTGAGAAGGAGGTTCAGTTCCATTCAACATGTTATGCGCATTCATAATTGTCTAAAGTTTTCATTTATCAGTAACCAGCATGTTTGTCTTTAATTTTCATAAAGTCCAGTGGATTTTTCAAGTCTTCAATTCGGATATGGTTTTGACTGTACTACATTTTTACCGCTCATGTAGGAAATTTTGTCTCGACTCAGTGACCACGTTAATGCATTCGTATAACCAGATTTTTAAAAATATGTTCAAAAGTTACTTATTACTTAATGTATAGTCATATTTTAATGTTTAACGTACATCGTCGTCTCCCCTTTCGTCAGGAACATGAAGCTTGTCGCACTACAACATACGTATCAGCAGATGAAGAAAAGTTACAGCAATCACAATTCTTGAGTTTTACTTCTGCAGTTATAAATATCTCCAGTGAGTCATGAAAGAATAAAGACTTCAGTGAACAAATTTGGTTTCAACAATTTCATTCTCTGCAGCGGTACACTCGCATTTAAATGTACTTATCATGCATTAAAATGTCACTATTAGTGAATCAATAATTGTCGGTTGCTTGTGGCCATGAAAACAATGCAGGA